AAAACTTGGAAAAAGATTTATTCAAACAATTATAATTACATAATTTGTGGCAAAAATTGTACTTCAACTTGTGCCTGCGTTTTTGCACTCGTTGAATTCGTGCTCAGACATTTGAGAGTGAAAGAAGAGAGTTCTTTCTTTTGTTGTTGTGGATGAATTTGAACCGGCAGGAATGGGTAAATGAACGTTTGTTTCAGAGTTAGCCAAGTCTGGAAAGATATTAGTGAACAAAAGTGTTTCGAATTCATTTTATGGTAAGCAGACGAGGCAAGGCAAGGCCAGAACTGGAATTGATGCAGGCTAGACAAGAGACCAACCCCAACACCAAGCCCAACACCAAGCCCAACACCAAACCCAACACCAAGCCCAACACCAAGCCCAACACCAAGCCCAACACCAAGCCCAACACCAAGTTCAACATCAAGCCCAACACCAAGCCCAACACCAAGTTTAACACCGAGCCCAACACCAAGCCCAACACTAAGCCCAACACCGAACCAAACCTAATTCCATCTTGGTTTTGGCTCATTGCTTTGTCTACAAATATAAATCAACATTTTCATTAATAAAACCATATTTAAAAAATTGGATACAATTTGAATGACTTTTTATTAGGTTGAATACAAATTCTTCATAATACTTTTTGTTTCTTCTTCAGAGAGAAAAACCCATAGCTTTTTTTAGGTTTTAAGATGATAATCAGACACGTATTGGTTAGCTTTGAGCAAAGTTTCATTCACTGAGCTTCAAGGAAGATTCTCTTTGCAATCAGACTAGATTTTTCTCTTATCCTTAAACATTTCAAATGTCAAGTAAATACTTTGAAAATAATTTGAAGAAAAACGTATCAAATAGCTTTTCGAAAAACTTTGACAGCATTTCAAAGTCTTAAAAAGTTTTTGGATTGAAGTCTTTTCTGAAAAACTTTCTAGAGAATCTATCTATCAGTTTTTTCTTTTATTTATAGCTCAACTTTCATTCATTAAAATAGGATAAACTTGGTTTTATAGACAAGACTAACAATGTTTCAAAAGTTCTATAAAACACATAGTTCAATCTTCGAGAAATTTCAAAACAAAGACTCCAAATTGATTGATAAACAGTCTTCATATATCTCAAGACTCAAACGTTTTACAGGATTTGAGTGTTGAGCTTCTGTGAAAGCTTTGGAAGCTGTAAAATAGTCATCAACTCGGCTTGGCAGGGTGCACTGCTATTAGAGAAAATACGGTATTTGAGCATAGATCTACATATATCATACAAGGCAAAAGGGAACGACAGGTTCCAATACGGATCCTCATCTAAACTTATAAATTACCGTATTTTATTATAAATTACCGAACCGCTTATCAGAACGTGGAGTCGGAAAAGGTAGCTGACGATGAGATCTAGTGGGGGATTTGAGTGTTGAGCTTCTGCAAAGGCTTGGAAGCCGTAATATAGTGACCAACTCAGGTCGTTGGGGACTACTATTAGAGAAAATACGGTAGTTCAATCTTTGAGAAATTTCAAAACAAAGACTCCAAACAATTCAAACTCTGCTACTCAAGAAATTGCAAAGAAAATCTAGTTGACTTATCATCTTTCTGTCATCTTAGAACAATAAACTCTTTTAAGGATTTTTGCTGATGATTAATTGAAATAAAAGATTTCTGAACTTTTCTTTGTTGATTGTTTTATCAAATGTAATCCCTAAAGACCAAGAAATTATTAAATTTCCAGAAAAAAATTAGTCTGAAATGTGATTATGTAATTAAATAACGCATTTAAGAACGAGATCTTTGACGAAGGTTTTGAAATATCAAAAGATATCTTAAAATTGCACATTTAGATTTTTGTTCTATTTAGATTTAACAAAAATTGAGTTAAAGCCCTGCAAAGCTGGTAAAGCCATCTTTTTTAGATCAAGCCAGGGTTCTTTTCCGTTGTGTTTACATGTCATATTGTAGACCAAGCCTTGCTGCAGGCTTTTGGTCTGATAGGTCAAGCCTGTAGCCAGGATTTTGATGTTTTTTGAGAGAATCACTAGAACTTCGTCTAGAAATTCCTCCCAAACAATTTCAACAAAAAGAAGAAAATCTAGCTAAATCTTCAGGCTACATCATTCCTACAACTTTGAGTACTTTGAGTTCTAAAACTTAAAACACACTCCAGTACTCAGGAATTTTCCAACTAGGTTAGGCTTAGATGCTTTTGTGATCCAAATCGACAGTAAGCCAGGCTAGAAACCTACAGCAGACTAGGATTTCGATGTTTTTGAAAGAACTTTATCCAGAAGTCCTCAATCAATTTACACTCAAAGAAGAAAATTTAGCTAAATCTTTAGGCTACGTCTTGGGTACAATGTAATTTTTCTAAAATAAAATCCACTAGGAAAAATTTCCTAATTCCGTGTTGGCAGAGCTGCAAAAAAAAAGTGACAACGAAACTTTAAGCCTCTCTAGCTCACTCTACAAGCTTTAAATCAAATTTTTAGTTTACTTGTCTTATGTAAATCGACACGGGGAATCGATTGGTGATAATTAAAAGTTTCTTGGATAATGGCTAAATGTTTAAAACCTCTGCCCCCTTTTGCAAATTGATTAAAACTTTTAGAGCGAGCTAGAAAGGCTTAAAAGTTGTGTTGTCATTTTTTTTGCGCCTCTGCCGACACAAAAATGAAATTTTTCCCTAGTGGATTCCATTTTAGAAAAATTACATTCTAGGAATGATGTAGACTGAAGATTTAGGTGGATTTTCTTCTTTTTGTGTAAATTGTCTGGGGGCTTCTGGATGAAGCTCTAGCGATTCTTTCAAAAATATCGAAATCCTAGTCTGCTGTAGGTTTCTAGCCTGACTTATTGTCGATTTGGATCACAAAAGCATCTAAGCCTAACCTAGTTCCTGAGTACTAAAGTGTGTTTCAAACTTTGAACTCAAAGTACACCAGTATATCGCTTTGTTTCAAAGCTCTTTTCTTTTGTAAGCTTTTTTTATATTTTTAAGCCCATTTATTTTTAAGCCTATCACTTGAAAATATCAAAATATCAAAAAATTTAGTATCTTTTTTACTGATGAAAGCTTTGGAATGGACAGATTATATCTCTCTTCTCATGGATCTCTTCATCCCATTCGTGATCATTGGCGACATTTGCATCTATATAACTTTCGGGAAAAAGTCACGACTTTGCCCGATCTTTCTAGCATCAATGAGAAACATTTGTGAGTGAATGATCAAATAAATGATAAAGATAAAGTTTTTGAATTCAAAATTTAGTCTTAATCAATATCGAGATCTATTTTGTGGAACTTTTTCTCAAAGAGCCCGCAAATTTCGGGTTTTTCTGGGATTTCTGGTTGCAAAACGGGTGGTGGATTGGGAAATACGTGTTCGCGAATAGTTCAGGTAAAAAATTTGACGAGTTTAAACGATAAAACACTATCAATCAAACACAATCAAACACATTTACTAATGGTAATCAAAAGAAAACACTTTTCAGTCTGGCATACGATTGTTCTCGTTTTCGCACTTGAGATTGCTGTGTCGAGATTTTTCTGTGTCTGGTCACCAGTTTACTATCATAAGGTAGAGCTACAGCACTGGACAATGAAATATCATATTTGAAAAACGTCACTTTCAACGATCGTCACTTTCGCGCCTAACTTTAACTCCCTTGTCTTTGAGCTTAAACTATTAGTGTTATGCATTTTCTGAAAGCTCTTTTCAAGGGCTACACAATGGTAATATTAATATTGAGAAATACGGTAAAGACGAGAGAGTTACAGACGCGCGAAAGTGACGATCGTTTTTCAAATATGATATTTCATTGTCCAGTAGTGTATATGACTTTAAAAATAAAAATCTGACATGTTAATGAGCTATGAGAATTACAAGGAAAGTATACAGGTACCAGCTAAAAAATGGGGCTTTTCCTACGAGATTTTCTGACTGTCCCCGTGGCGCAGTCGTGAGCGAGCTTGTCTACGAGTCTTGTCACACTTCGACAGCCGGGTTCGACTCCCGGCTGAGTTATGACCACGATTATCTCCTTCTGTATCGAAGCTTTTAAAAAAAAACATAAGATGGATAACTACTAAGCCTAAGAAACTAAAAATCATGTAAATCGGGAGCCGAGAAACTCACCTGTACAGACGAAATGGACAGAGACTGCTTTTATATATAGTAGATTGTGTAGAATAGCCTTATTAGGCTCAGGCTACATTGTTGATTGGAAAACTTAACTTAAAAATAAATTTAACAACAACTCTTTTCCCCATTTCAGTATTGGAATCAAAAAGTCACCACGATCATCTCATTCTGTATCTGGGCTGTAGGCGCTGTCTTGACCCTTCATGTTTTCTTCTTTGTCCAATGTCGAGCCTATCCAAAAGTTTGTAACCAATTCTAAGATTCATTCATCTATCTTTAGAGCAATACTTCTTTAACCTTCAATACAGTAACCCCAAACATTATTCACACACTACTCAACACTTATATGAAAGCAATTCTTCCAGCGCTTATTTCTTGTTGTTACGCGGCACTTGGATTTGTTTTGTGGAGGTTATTTATCTATTATAAAGTTGAAGATCTAGCTGAAGATCTAGCTGAAGATCTTTAGCTAAAGGTCTAGCTGAAGATCTTTAGCTAAAGGTCTAGCTGGAGATCTTTAGCTAAAGGTCTAGCTGAAGATCTTTAGCTAAAAATCTTTAACTGAAGATCTTTAAAATCTATATCTAGATCTAGCTAATTTTTACGTTTTTTTTTTGTTTGTCATCAAGTACTTTTGTACATTATCAAAACCCAATTGATAAACGAAACATTCGTAATTCAATCAAGCCAGACTTTCTTTGATAACACAAGCAATACAAAGCAATCTTTCAGCTTAACGAAAAGAAATCACCAAACGCAAAGCAATTTGTGGAGTTCAACGACGAAAAAGATCGTGCTTTCACAGATGGTGATTCTAATTCGTAAGTGAGAAACAACTTTAGTCCTCTAAAATTGTATTTGAGCCAAAATCATGCACAGTTGTGCCGCGATTTACTCGAATTTCGAGGCTTTCATACCACAATGGCATCTCATTCCGTTAAATCTTGATTTCTACTATTTGATTATAAAATTCGGTGCTGTTGGATATGGGATCTTTGCAACTCTAGTGATTCTGTTTTGTTTCCCATTGGTGAGTCTTAGATTGTGCAAAGCTAAGCCAAGCCAGGGTTAAACCAGGGTCATGTCAGGGTTCAACTTCAAGCCTTCAAATCACCATAATGGGTGGCTTGGGTCTGGTTTACTGTTCTGAGTAAGATATAAGGTTCTACCTCGGCGGTAGCTTGCATTCTGGTATAGCTTGGTAAAGCGCTCGCCCGGTAAGCGAGAGATCGTGGTAGAGGTCGTGAGTTCGAATCCTGGCGCCAATCAAATTTTTGAATTTTTGGATTTATAGCCGCAACCGATAAAAGATAAAGATTAAAGGTAAAGAAGAAAGATAAAGGTAAAAGATAAAAGTCTTGTCGAACTCTAGGTATACTCAAAATCTTACTTTTCCATGCCCCGCATCATTTTCAAGTTTCTAATGACGAAAATTTAGACTTGGAAGACGATGAAAGAGCTCTGTTACTATCGTTTTCTTCCCGAACATTGGCAACCAAAAGAGGAGACATCAAAAGTGTCAATGACTGAAGTGAACACTTGGATGACACAAGTTTCCTCGAAATTTCCATCACTAGACTAGTTTTGTGATTGTTTTTCGATAAATTTGAGTATAAAGTGCACTTTTAAATACAAAAACTCCAGAAGTTGAGAAGTTGAGATCTTTTGAAAGCCGAAACATCAGTTCATACTTATCAAAAGAAAATCGTTGACTCATCATTTCGTTTTTTCTGTTTAATGTCGGAATGGAATCACATAGTTTACACTATCAGAACTAGTACTAGTACTAGTAGTACTAGCAGTACTAGTAGTAGTACTAGAAGTACTAGTAGTACTAGTAGTACTAGAAGTACTAGAAGTACTAGTAGTACTAGAAGTACTAGTAGTACTAGTAGTACTAGTAGTACTCGTACTAGTACTACACATAGTATTAGTCAATAAGTAGTCATTGCCATTTACAAAATATTTATCAATCTTTGTTGTAAGTTAGTGATCATAATTGTTTCGATTGTTGAAACCCATTGAGCCGTTTGATCTGAAAATAAGAACCATTGATTATCAAGATCACAAGAACTTATAAAAACCTCTTTTTTAAGTTCCCTAACTTGAGCCTCGAGCCGAAGGATTTGATCTTGATGAGCGCCCATTTGGTAGTAAGCCTGGAATCTTTTATTCAATATTTGACTTACTAAGTGCACTAACAGCTTTTAACAGCACTTTATCAGTACTTTATCTATTTTTTTAGCTAAATAAAGTGCCAATCTATATTGGCTTTAATAATCTTGTTTTAAACTTCCATTGACCTTTTCTGGAAACACGGTAATGACTCTCACGGCTTTCTGCAAGTTTTCCCTTGAGAAAAAACCGGGACAAAGCCGTTCAATTCTATAATAACTTATATAAATCAATTAGATTACCCTTTGCTTCAATCCATCATACTCTTCTTGTAAATCTTCGTTCTCTTTTCGAAGCCGTTTCATTTCAAATTCTAAATTCTCAATTTTGAATAAAATTACCCGTAAAAGAAAACTCTCACCGCATTTTTCTTCATCGTGGTTTGATTTTATATTGTTTCTTGCCTAAAATACCATTTTTTTTAATGTCTAATTTTTAAGCAAACCTCAGATTGTATTGAATTTTCAAAAGAAACGCTAGAAGATGCACGAAAAAATTGCTCAACATTCCTCTAAACAAATCTACAAATGTAGAAAATTGCTGAATTCAACAAAACTACCAATTCCGGTGCTTCGGTGAGGATTGGAGGCTTTAAATCTAGCCAGGCTGTGTTCTCGTCGGAAGGAATCTCTCTAGTGTCACCTGAATGTAAAAAGATAAACTAATCTATTTATATTTACAAGGAAAAGTCAAGGCTGTGATGGCCAAATGACAGAATTTGACGCTCATTTCAATGCTGATAAATGTTTTTTTGCAAAATGATTTGGAAACGAAAGAAATCTAGTAACAAGTTTCAGGTCAAATTAGAGAATCAGTCCCTATACAAGGCTTCTTTCACCGTCTCGCCTCATGAGCTCATAGTGTAGTGGATAAGGGTCTTGTTTCTAAGGCAAACCAGCAGGTTTTTGCTCAGGTTCGATCCCTTCCTTTGTTTTCATTTTAATTTGATCTTTAATTTATTGATCTCGAATTTGTTGTATCTTAAATTCACAATAGTATTATGTACAATAATATTCACAATAGTACATCATTCATTTACTTTATAGATTGCTGTGTTAGGTTGTCTGATTATTTTATTTGTTATCAGTATGTTATCTGACTATTTTCATCATTCTCATTAATTTTCGATCGATTCCTACCTTTTAGTGAACCCAGAATCGCTTCAATTGATGTTCCCGATCCCTGGTCGATCGAGTTTTCAAGTAGTGACGAAGTGGCAGGCTGATCTGAAAAGAATTATTTCAAATGTTCAAATGTTACCAATTTCAGAACAATAATAACAAACAGGCAAAACTATGCCTTCAATCAAAGATTGATCAATCAAACAAACAGGTAATTCTACCATCAATCAAAGATTGAAGGCATAGTTTTGCCTGTTGTCTTCTACCTTCAATCAAAGATTGATCTTCATTCCAAAGAAGTTTCTCCATTTCCCCCAAATAGTAGGGAACAGCCGTCTTTCGATAAGTTCCGTTCCATTCTTCGCCATTTCCTTTCCTCTTGATGATTGAATCTGAAAGTTAGCTAAAAGCTTTAGATTTCTTATAGCTTTTACCGTACCTAAGTTCAAAGGACCAGCCTTGACCGTACCCTGTCGGAGTTCAAAAGGCTCAATGCCTTGACCAGCCTTTTTTTGAGCGCACTCTTCACAAAGCTTGATAAACATTGTAATTATTTCTTTTGAGATTCCGTGAAAATCTCTTAGAGATCTCCACATTGTATCTCGTCCAGCATGTCCAAGATCTACATGTGTTTTCATTAACAAATCGAATAGTTCTTCCTTTTTGACGACTTTTCGAGGTAAATCCTTTTCATTTGTTCTTTGAATGTAGAGAATTGGTTGTTGAAATTCATATCGAATTGAAAATCTTTTTGTTATATTTCTTTCTATTCGTGTTCTTTTCAATTTCTTTCCATTTTCTGGCAATAATTCAATCATTTTCACGATTTCTGAATACTTTTTTGCCGTAGGAATATAGATTTTCGTTTTTTCGGATTGATAATCGGAGAATTTCTTCGCAAATAATGTATTCATAGCTAAAAATATAAAAAGAAATAGGAATTGAATTGAATTGAAATTAGGAATTGAAAAGATTTTGGAAAAAAAGGATTGAATTGAAAAGAAAAGAAAAGAAACACAAAATGGTCCTTTTTTTCAGGTCAAATTAGAGAATCAGTCCATATATAAGGCTTTTTCACCGTGCCGCAACTTGAGGTCATGGTCGAGTGGATAAGAGCCCTGTTTCCAAGCCGGGGCGCCAAGTTTTTGCTCAGGTTCGATCCCTTCCTTTGTTTTAATTTTAATTTGATCTTTAATCGCTCGAATTTGTTGTATTTTAAATTTAAAATAGTATTATGTACAATAATATTCACAATAGTACATCATTCATTTACTTTATAGATTGCTGTGTTATATAGAGTTTCGTTTCTTTGGATTGATAATCGGAGAATTGCTTCGCAAATAATGTATTCATAGCTAAAAATATAAAAGAAATAGGAATTGAATTGAATTGAAATTAGGAATTGAAAAGATTTTGAAAAAAAAGATCGAATTCAGAAGAAAAGAAAAGAAACACAAAATGATCCTTTTTTTATTGTAAAAGTCTAACCGATTCAGATTTTTATCAATTTTAAGCCAAGAATTAGACTGAAATCTCTTTCCATTCCTTTAATCTTGAAAGCTAAATCGTTATTTTACGATTTTCACTACAAACTCATCTTCTCTGTTATCAATTTCTTTAACAAAAGCTAAACTAAAACAATTGTGAAAGGAAATTAGTTAAACAAAAGCCTTTTGAGTTTGAGGACAGGAGAAAATAGAAAAAAAACGATCATAGCTAATCGCTTGAGAGAAAATTTTCCCCTTAATCAGCTACGACACATATTTTGAAAGCCGGAGAACAGCAGGGTACGGTAACTTTTACGTGAATACACATTTTAGCCAACCCCAACACTCACCTTTCATCCTCCAAATATCATCCTTGATTCGTTTCTTGATTTGTTCAAGTGTTTTTTCCGGTTCTTCCCCAATTTCCGCTAACTCTCGAAGGATTTTATCGAAAAGTTGTTGTCGAGGAGTTTTCCCATTCGTTTTTAAGCCTTTATGTTGATTGTACTGAGTCCAGTTTTCAAATACTGCCTAAAAATCTTCTTTGATGATTGTCAAATCCAAATACTCACCTTAAACATCACTTCTAAAGATCGATTTGAGAAATTATTCGATCTTTTCCGTTTTTGAATTTGATTCATTGGAAATTAAAGTAAATAGAAAAAAAAAGACAAAAATACTTAAGATTAAGCTCAAAGAAATGAGCGTTGCTTGACAAATCGATTGATTAAGAGATCATGGAGAAAATGGAGGCGAAAGATTGACAGAGAGCCATTCAAATAAGCCAACGCTTAAATGTGATAAGGGAAAAGAAAGGGGAAAATAAGACAAAAGAAGAGAAATTTGAGCCGGATGGATAAAAGCGCAATTCAAATGACGAAATTTGATTCTAAATCGCTTCTTTGAGCTTTAAAACTGTTCAAAAGTGATCGATGTGATGAAACTTGAAGCACTACAGCTTCTTGATCACTTTTGATGCTTGTTTTAAAAGCAAATTTTGTATACTGTATTCTCTGTAATAGTAGTGCAGTCTCTAATAGTCTGGCAAGGATTTCTTACAAAGCAAGCCTCTAATATCGTCTGGCTATAGTCTGGAAAGAATTTCTTACAAAGGAAGCTCCTAATATAGTCGGGCTATAGTCTGGCAAGAATTTCTGGCAGTCTGGCAAGAATTTCTTACAAAGCAAGCCTCTAATATAGTCTGGCGATAGTCTGAAAAGAATTTCTGGCAGTTTAGCAAGAATTTCTTACAAAGCAAGCCTCTAATATAGTCTGGCTATAGTCTGGCAAGAATTTCTGGCAGTCTGGCAAGAATTTCTTACAAAACAAACTTTCGAAAAGGATGCTCGAGATTGAAACGCTTAATGTAAATGAATCGTGTCTGAAGATGAAAACAGCTTTGGTGCAAATGAAGCCGACATCGCTGGCGAAGAGAAGCTTGATGAGGAAACTTCTCGAAAACGAAAAGTGACATCATCCAAGCATTCGATGGGATCAAAGAAAAAACCCTGTTACATCCAAGCGCTTGAGCTTGCCTGGAACGCTCCTTCAAAGCAAATATTAGAGAACAATATGAAGAATGGATGGTCAACGGATTGCGGCCTCTCACAAAAGGAGGAAATCTACCACCGATGGAAATTTACTTGACATGGGTTTGGAATGCCTGAAATGAGCTGCTGAAGCATCTGGTCGTTCACTCCTTTAAGAGCTATGGAATTACTAAAACCACGCACGGAACCTTATCCACTGCTTCAAAAAATCCTTCAATTCCGGAGCAAGCAAATGGGATGCTCGAGGAGAACAAGCAACAAATGAAATCAACAATCATCTTGCTAATATTGATTTGGATGATAATGGTTATGATAGTGATGTGTCTATTGATGTTGTTAAATGATTTACCTAATTCCCTTTACTTATCTCTGAATAAATATATAAAAACAACTCGATTCATTTGCAAAAAGGAATGGCATAGGTAATAACACCTGCTATTATTTCCAGGTAAAGACTTGATCCTGATTTTGAAAAAATGAAAACTTTAATAGTAGTGCAGGCTGGAGGGGGGTTGGAAACAATATTAGTGGGCACTAGACATGCGCACTCGGTCCGGTCCTCGGTCTGAACCGAGACCGAATCGGAAAGGGCTTCGGTCTGACCCGGACCGAAAATTTGGGACTTCGGTCCGAACCGGACCGAAAGGTTGGAGTTTTGATTCGGGCTGGATCGAGACCGGACCAAAAAGCTGGGGCTTCGGTCCGACCCGGACCGAGACCGGACCGACTGATACGGACTGAAGGCACGTGCGTGATTTTAGTAATTCCATAACTCTTAAAGGAGTGAACGACCAGATGCTTCAGCAGCTCATTTCAGGCATTCCAAACCCATGTCAAGTAAATTTCCATCGGTGGTAGATTTCCTCCTTTCGTGAGAGGCCTCAATCCGTTGACCATTCATTCTTCGTATTGTTCTCTAATATTTGCTTTGAAGAGAGCGTTCCGACTGATACGGACCGAGGGCACATGTCCGGTGCGCACTACTATTAAATAAAATACGGTAACTCGTCGATTTATGTGATCATTGGGTAAAAAGTGATACTCATTTTTTGGTATACCTGAAGATTTTTTACTTTTAAAATCAAAGATCTCAAGAAAAAGCGAGTCTTTTTCGTTTTGACTCTTTTAACACTTTGGTTCAGCTCTTGGTACTTTATTTGGGTAAGTTATTAAAAGTACAAGTAGCTCTCTGATTTCCCCAAGGATCTCAAGAAAATTAATTAGTTAAAAACTTTGCGTGAATCTTTTTTACGTCAAAAAATCTTTTTGAATAGTCTGCAGACCATTTCGAAATCTAAAAATTCTTTCAAATGGCTTTTGCTTGGAAATTCACTGATTACCCGTCACTTTTTATGGATTTTTGCATCCCTTTCGCTATCCTAGCCGACATCTCGATTTACAAAACTTTCGGGGAAAATCTCAAATTTTGCCCGATTTTTCTGGCTTCAATGAGAAATATGTGTAAGTGGAAGAAGTGATTTGTGACAATTTCTTGATTTCTAAATGTTCAGCAGATTATTCTAAAAGATTTTTGACGTAAAAAAGAAGTGTTAAGAGATCCCAGTTGATGATTTTAGTTCTCATCAACATTGAGGTCTATTTGATCGCATCCCATTTCCAATATGGTTCCAATATGGTTCCAATATGCTCCTTCCAAGAATATGGTTCCAATATAGTTCCATGGTTCCAATATGGTTCCAATATGGTTCCATGGTTCTAATATGGTTCCAATATGGTTCCAATATGGTTCTAATATGGTTCCAATATGGTTCCAATATGGTTCCAATATGGTTCCAATATGGTTCCATGGTTCCAATATGGCTCCAATATGGTTCCATGGTTCCAATATGGTTCCAATTTGGTTCCAATATGGTTCCATGGTTCTAATATGGTTCCAATATGGTTCCATGGTTCCAATATGGCTCCAATATGGTTCCATGGTTCCAATATGGTTCCAATATGGTTCCATGGTTCCAATATGGTTCCATGGTTCCAATATGGTTCCAATATGGTTCCATGGTTCCAATATGGTTCCAATATGGTTCCAATATGGTTCCAATATGATTGTATCCCTTTCGCTATCCTAGCCGACATTTCGATTTACAAAACTTTCGGGGAAAATCTCAAATTTTGCCCGATTTTTCTGGCTTCAATGAGAAATATGTGTGAGTGGAAGAAGTGATTTGTGACAATTTCTTGATTTCTAAATGTTCAGCAGATTATTCAAAAAGATTTTTAACGTAAAAAAAGAAGTGCTAAGAGATCCCAGTTGATGATTTTAGTTCTCATCAACATTGAGCTCTATTTGATTGAAATTTTCGTTAAAGAACCGGCAAATTTCGGGTATTTTTGGGATTTCTGGATGAAGAATGGGTGGTTGATCGGGAAATTCGTATTCGCAAATACTTCTGGTAAGATTTTTTGGTAAAAGCCAAGAAAGTTTACTTCCAACATGATTCTTTGGCTTAAAGCAAGCAAGTTTTTTAAGTTTGGAGTACGGTCGTCTTGATGTTTGCTCTGGAAATTGCGATTTCTCGATTTTGGTGTGTCTGGTCGCCGGTGAGCTATCAAAAAGTGAGGAAAAGCTCAAGTTTTCTCAATTCTTTTGATCAATTTCACTCAATTCCTTTAATCGATTGATGAGTTTTGTTATTTACTTTTCATGCTTTCATCATCTTTCCCAAATCCTTTCAGTATTGGAATCAAAAATTCACCAGTGTCATCTCATTTTTGATTTGGTCTATTGGATTCTTGATGACTGCTCATGTATTCTTTTTTGTGAACTGTCGAGCGTATCCGAAGGTTTGTGAGTAAGAAACAGGATGTACAGTAAGTAAGTAAGTAAGTAAGTTTGAAACAGTAAGTACAGTAAGTAAGTAAGTACAGTAAATAAGTCAGCACACTAAGTAAGTAAGCATAGTAAGTAAGTAAGTACAGGAAGTAAGTATGAAGCAGGAAGTACAGTAAGTAAGTATGAAACAGTAGGTACAGTAAATAAGTAAGTACACTAAATAAGTAAGCAAAGTAAGTAAGTAAGTACAGTAAGTAAGTATGAAACAGGAAGTACAGTAAGTAAATAAGTATGAAACAGTAAGTAAACAGTAAGAAAAACAAGTAAAAACCCTATTTTCTCTTGCGAAAAGATCAATTTCCATAAAAAACGACTTAAAAACCGGAAAGCTAGCAATTCCCATTGAAAAGCTCTGAAAAATCTACATTTACATTAAGCCAACAATGCAAATTTGCCACTGAAAACAAAATGAGACAAATACTTAAAAAAAATCTAGACAAACACCTCTCTAACATTCAACACCGTTACACCAAACATCATTCACACGATCAACACGACTTATGTTAAAGGAACTCTTCCATTCTTGATCTCAGCTTGCTATATTGGACTCGGTTTCACGTTATGGAGGTAAGAAATATGGTACCGTATTTACTCTATTAGTGGGGTCCTCTCTAATAGTGGGGTCCTCTCTAATAGTGGGGTCGTCTGGAGGGGGGTTGAAAAAATAGTGGGGTCCTCTCTAATATTGGTAACGAAAGTGATACATCAATTGTTGATCTCTTGGATTAGTTCTTTTACTGTTTGTTAATGTTTTGTTACGGTTAAAGCTAAATAAAATATGAAGCCAAACTTGTTTTGTCAAGAATTTCGGAGAAAAATTGATATCTTTTCAATTTAAAACTTTGGTTTTATGTTCTTTTAAATTTCTCTAATAGTGGGGTCCTCTCTAATAGTGGGGTCGTCTGGAAGGGGATTGAAAAAATAGTGGGTGACCCCACTAATAGAGTAAATACGGTATATGGATTTTGGAGAAATTTGACGGTTAAATCTTCTAGGAACAATCCTGACTAAAAAAGATAAGCACAACCCAGCCTAGCAATGCATACTTTGAGCTCTAAACAAGCGCTTTCTGGCAAACTTTGTGTTTCTCTCAGAAAAACTCCAGCCTTTGTTGAAGCTTGTACTTGAAAACAGAAAAAAACTATAAAATTCTAAGAATTCGTTGAACTATTTATAAATT